AGTAAAGACAAAAAACATGCAAACAGCTGGAAACTAAATAACTCATTACTTAATGAAGAATGGATCATCGATGCAATAAAAGAGGAAATTAAAAAGTTCCTGGAAGTCAATGAAAATGAAAACACAACCTACCGGAACCTATGGGACACAGCTAAGGCAGTCTGAGAGGAAAGTTTATAGCCATGAGTGCATATATTAAAAAGATGAAAGATCCCAAATCAATGACCTAATGATACATCTCAAACTCCTAGAAAAACAAGAACAAGCAAATCCCAAAACAAATAGGAGAGAAATAATAAAAATAAGAGCTGAAATCAACGAAATAGAAACCAAAAAAACCATACAAAGAATTAATGAAACAAAAAGTTGGTTCTTTGAAAAAATAAACAAGATCGATAGACCCCTGGCAAACCTGACTAAAATGAGGAGAGAAAAAACCCAAATTAGTAGAATCAGGAATGCAAAAGGGAGAGATAACAACAAACACCATGGAAGTCCAGGAAATCATCAGAGACTACTTTGAGAACCTATATTCAAATAAATTTGAAAATCTTAAAGAAATGGACAGATTTCTAGATACATATGATCATCCAAAACTGAACCAAGAGGAAATTAATCACCTGAATAGACCTATAACACAAAATGAAATTGAAGCAGCAATCAAGAGTCTCCCCAAAAAGAAAAGTCCAGGACCTGATGGATTCTCTGCTGAATTCTATCAGACCTTTAAAGAAGAACTGATACCAACCCTCCTTAAACTGTTCCATGAAATAGAAAGGGAAGGAAAACTGCCAAACACATTTTATGAAGCCAGTATTACACTTATCCCAAAACCAGGCAAAGACACCTCCAAAAAGGAGAACTATAGGCCAATCTCCTTAATGAACATTGATGCAAAAATCCTCAACAAAATAATGGCAAACCGAATTCAGCAACACATCAAAAAGATTATTCACCACGACCAAGTAGGCTTCATCCCAGGGATGCAGGGGTGGTTCAACATACGAAAATCAATAAACGTAATAAACCACATTAACAGAAGCAAAGACAAAAACCACTTGATCATCTCAATAGATGCAGAAAAAGCCTTTGATAAGATCCAACACATTTCATGATAAAAGCTCTAAGAAAACTAGGAATAGAAGGAAAGTTCCTCAACATTATAAAAGCTATATATGCAAACCTACAGCCAGCATTATACTTAAGAGAAAAACTGAAACCATTCCCTCTAAAATCAGGAACCAGACAAGGATGCCCACTATCTCCACTCCTATTCAACATAGTACTGGAATTCCTAGCCAGAGCAATTAGGCAAGAAGAAGGAATAAAAGGAATACAAATAGGTAAAGAAACTGTCAAAATATCCCTATTTGCAGATGACATGATCCTATACCTTAAAGACCCAAAAAACTCTACTCAGAAGCTTCTAGACATCATCAATAGCTATAGCAAGGTAGCAGGATATAAAATCAACATAGAAAAATCATTAGCATTTCTATACACTAACAATGAGCAAACGGAAAAAGAATGTATGAAAACAATTCCATTTACAATAGCCTCAAAAAAAATCAAATACCTAGGTGTAAACCTAACAAAAGATGTGAAAGACCTCTACAAGGAAAACTATACACTTCTGAAGAAAGAGATTGAGGAAGACTATAGAAAGTGGAGAGATCTCCCATGCTCATGGATTGGTAGAATCAACATAGTAAAAGTAATCTACATGTTTAATGCAATTCCCATCAAAATTCCAATGACATTCATTAAAGAGATTGAAAAATCTACTGTTAAATTTATATGGAAACACAAGAGGCCACGAATAGCCAAGGCAATACTCAGTCAAAAGAACAATGCAGGAGGTATCACAATACCTGATTTCAAACTATATTACAAAGCAATAACAATAAAAACAGCATGGTACTGGCACAAAAACAGACATGAAGACCAGTGGAACAGAATAGAGGACCCAGATATGAAGCCACACAACTATAACCAAATTGTCTTTGACAAAGGAGCTAAAAATATACGATGGAGAAATAGCAGCCTCTTCAACAAAAACTGCTGGGAAAACTGGTTAGCAGTCTGCAAAAAACTGAAACTAGATCCATGTATATCACCCTATACCAAGATTAACTCAAAATGGATCAAGGATCTTAATATCAGACCCCAAACTCTTAAGTTGATACAAGAAAGAGTAGGAAATACTCTGGAGTTAGTAGGTATAGGTAAGAACTTTCTCAATGGAACCCCAGCAGCACAGCAACTAAGAGATAGCATAGATAAATGGGACCTCATAAAGCTAAAAAGCTTCTGTTCATCAAAAGAAATGGTCTCTAAACTGAAGAGAACACCCACAGAGTGGGAGAAAATATTTACCAACTATACATCAGACAAAGGACTGATAACCAGAATATATAGGGAACTTTAAAAACTAAATTCTCCCAAAACTAATGAACCAATAAAGAAATGGGCAAGTGAACTAAACAGAACTTTCTCAAAAGAAGAAATTCAAATGGCCAAGAAAACACATGAAAATGCTCACCATCTCTAGCAATAAAGGAAATGCAAATTAAAACCACGCTAAGATTCCACCTCACCCCTGTTAGAATAGCCATCATCAGCAACACCACCACCAACAGGTGTTGGCGAGGATGCGGGGAAAAAGGAACCCTCTTACACTGTTGGTGGGAATGTAAACTAGTACAACCACTCTGGAAAAAAATTTGGAGGCTACTTAAAGCTAGACAGATCTACCATTTGATCCAGCAATCCACTCTTGGGATATACCCAAAAGACTGTGACACAGGTTACTCCAGAGCACCTGCAACCCATGTTTATTGCGGCACTGTTCACAATAGCCAAGTTATGGAAACAGCCAAGATGCCCCACCACTGATGAATGGATTAAGAAAATGTGGTATCTTCCAAAAGACTGTTACTCCAGAGGCACCTGCACATCCATGTTTATTGCGGCACTATTCACAATAGCCAAGTTATGGAAACAGCCAAGATGCCCCAGCACTGACGAATGGATTAAGAAAATGTGGTATCTATACACAATGGAATTTTATTCAGCCATGAAGAAGAACAAAATGTTATCATTCGCTGGTAAATGGATGGAATTGGAGAACATCATTCTGAGTGAGGTTAGCCTGGCCCAAAAGACCAAAAATCGTATGTTCTCCCTCATATGTGGACATTAGATCAAGGGCAAGCACAACAAGGGGATTGGACTTTGAGCACATGATAAAAGCGAGAGCACACAAGGGAGGGGTGAGGATAGGTAAGACACCTAAAAAATAACTAGCATTTGTTGTCCTCAACGCAGATAAACTAAAGCAGACACGTTAAAAGCAACTGAGGCCAATAGGAGAAGGGAACCAGGAACTAGAGAAATGGTTAGATCAAAAAGAATTAACCTAGAAGATAATACACACACACAGGAAATCAATGTGCGTCAATGCCCTGTATAGCTATCCTTATCTCAACCATGAACACTTGTTCCTTCCTATTATTGCTTATACTCTCTCTTCAACAAAATTAGAGATAAGGGCAAAATAGTTTATGCTGGCATATTGAGGGGGTGGGAGGGAGTGAGAAGGGCGGAGTGGGTGGTGAGGGAGGGGGCAGGGGCAGGGGGGAGAAATGAACCAAGCCTTGTATGCACATATGAATAATAAAACAATAAAAAAATATTAATCAGATTGTACATGGTTAGTTTACAGAAACATAACTGATTTTGGTATATTGATCTCATTTCCTACAATATCACTGAACTCATTTAGTTCTAGTATTTTTTTTTTTTGTAGCTTTTAAAAATAATCTGTAGAGTTCATAAGATTTTCTGTAATGGCCATCCCACCATCTCTGAAAAATTGAGTTTTACTTCTTGTGTTTTATTTGAGCCTTTTACTTCCTTTTCTTACTTGAGTGTACTAGCTAGAATCTTCAGTGTAATCTTGAATAAAAGCAGTGAGAACAAATATCCATGTCTTGTTCTAAATCTTAGGGGACAAACATTATTTCACCGCCATGCATGACATTAGCTATAGGTTTTTCATACATACCCTTTATTAAATTGAGAAAGTTCCCTTTTATTTCCTGTTTGCAGAAATAGAAGTCAGATTTTATCAAATTCTGTTTTATCTGTGAGACAACTATCTGTTCTTTTCTTTTTAGTTTGTTTAATAGATTAATATAGCATTAATATGCTAAATTACTGTTTTGTAACATTGATTCTTTTGGAATGTTCAACTAACCTTGAATTTTGGGGATAAGTTCTACTAGGTCATGATGTATTTTTATAAATTATTGGATTCAATTTGCTATAATTTTGTGTAGAATGTTTATATCTATGTTCATGAGGGATATTGATTTTTCCTTTCATGTCTTTGTATGCTTTTTTGAATCAGGGTAAATGGGATCAGGATAATTCTGGCCTCAAAAAAAAATGAGTTGGGAATTTGTCTCCTCCTATAATTTGCCACAATGAAGAATGTCTCCTTGTAAAAATCAGGAAACTAAGGATCAAAGTAAATAACTTGATTCAGAATCACAAAGCACGTAAGTGGTAGAAGCCAAGCTTAAAGTTAGGCAAGACTCCAAATTCTGGTAAAAGGGATGAGAATGCCACAGAGAGCTTCCCTAATGAATACTGTCATGGCTTCCCATAATCTTTCTTAAACATGTTTCCAAATCACTGGTTAACTGTGCCTACCAGAACTGCCTACCTCCTACAGAAATTCTGAAGAAGAACACTACCCTACATTATCACTTAAGCTGCCACTTCAGTCTAAACACATTCTTCCAAACATTAACAAATCTTGGACTTAATATGGAGCTCATGAAGCTGGGCATTGTGGTGCATCTCTGTAATCCCAACACTTGGGAGGCTGAGACAGGAGAACCGAAAACAGCCACCCTGTTCTACATAGCAAGTTTGAGGCCTGTCTGGGTAACATACTGAAAACTTATCTCAAAAACCAAGTGTGTGGAGTGCACGCAAGATAGTCTTACACCAATGGAAGATATTTAAGGGTTAGGAACAAGGTTTTGTTGTTGCTATTGTTTTAAATATACAGAGACAGAGAGGTTCAGACTTATCAAATTACTGAGATAAACAAATTTATAGGTAGCTAAACTTGTGGCCTTTAATGATTTAACTTGGGTATAAGTGCACATCCTTACTGATTTAGGTACAAGTCCATTCATGCTCACAAATGTAAGTCATGTATTACTCACAGGAAACCTCGGAATCTGTTGAGGTCATTGTTTGGACTTTCACATTCTATTCTACTAGAAAACTTCTCAGGATCCAGTTCAGAGTCCTAAATTTTTTTTTTAATTGAAAAACAAGAATTCAAGATTAAATCATTGATAGTTAAGCATTTTATTACTTTCATCAATTCTTAATACAGTAATTAAGACTTTTTGCCACAAAGTTTGTCATAAATTTCCCAGATGAAAGAAAGTATAGGCATAACTATGGGACACGTTAACTGGGATCAGCAGAATCCTACAACCTTATCAATAGATGTACAGGTGATGTGGTCATGTATTGGAACTCATGAGGAACTCTGCAAGAAGAGAGTGTCTGCTCATGGGGCAAACACTTTTATATCAATAAGACCCTGAAAGCACCTTCCTTGCTGGTCATGAACACTATTGAATACTTTGAGCACATATACATTCTATCTCAGTCAAAGTTTATCAATAAAAAATTTAAAAATAAGCAGGATAGCAATATCTCATAAAATTCTCTAATGGATCAAACAGATAATCTCCTAATTCTTTATGAAACTAATGGGCATGTAAGCAAAATGCCTTTATAAAACATAGCTTCTAAACCATGGAGATTCACTAAAAACAAACCATGTCAAATTTTCTCATTTTTTTTCGATTTTTATATGGCTTTTGACTAATAAGAGGAACACTACTGATATTGACATAACTTATAAAATAATATGGTCATAGCAAAAATGGAAAATGCAAGTTATATGATTTGATTTGCTAATAACATCTATTGAGTTCTTTTGATGTACTGGAATCTATATTATGCACTTCAGGTATACTATCTTAAGTCTTTTTCAGTCTCATGAAGTAGGTATTATAATAAGTCCTAATTAACATATGAGGAGAGACAGAAACAAAGTGACTCAAGTAATTTGTCAAAGTTCTCAAAAGGTGTTTAGACCAGCACATTCATCCTTAATTGAACTGAAAGTGTGCTGAGTAATCAAATGATATCAGCCTCCAAATAGGTATTTAGTGCCATAACAGACTCTCAAGTTGGCAAGGTTTCTCAAAATCTCAGAAATTGGACACCTTACAAAAGTGACAATGACAATAAGCTCAGACTCATCTCAATCAGAGGAGCTAATTGAAATTCATAGGGAGAGCAATGGGACCCATGTGATAGGAAGAAATTTGCCAAAGATAATGTTATTAAGAGGCTAAAACATTTTTTTTTATTTATAAGTATTAGATGAGGGAACCCCAACTTATTAGGACAAGTATAAAAAGAAAGACCATTAAATTTTAACATGTTTCATTTCAAGTAGTTCCAGACAAAGAGAAAGGAAACAGATACTTAGAGACTGTGCAAGATGTGTTTATGTCCGAACTTTTTAACAATGCTAGCAAGGTATTCTCATATCCATTTTGTGATCAGGAAACTGAGGCATAAATTGTTTGAGAAACTTGTCAAGTCTCACACATTAACTAGTGGCAGAAGTAAAATTTGTCCAAATTTATGTCAATATAACTTCAAAGTTCTTGTTTCCCTTACCACAGCAATGTAAACATCCAGAAGTTATGTGACACGAGAAGCTACAAGTCTTAAAAGGCTTTGGGATATAAGTAGTTATATATTTTAGGAACAATGATCAAAACACAAAATATAAAAGTCTAAGAGAAATTAATTAGCAGGTGATTGTTTGTATTGCAAATTAATTCTATCAGTTTCCTTTAATTTAGTTCCAAAAAATGTGACTGCAGACTGAAGTATATGAACTCCAAAGTCATTTTATCCTATTATCTATAAAATACAGTGCACATTTACTGATATCTGAAATTGGATTAAGCCTGGGATTATATTTTGTCAATGGTAAAAATTAATTTATCTGTACTATGGAAATGAGCTCAGTCATTTCTTGAGAGAAAAAAAAGAAGAATTAATAAATCACCAGCCAAGAACATGTTATTTACCTGCTCTGCATATCCCCGTACCACCTGCCTCTGTTTTAAATTGCTCTCTCCATCAAGGCCAGAAGTCTCAATGTGACAGATCCCATCAGGATCAGTGGAAAAGAGTAATATCATATCTGCAGGGATGATCTCGTTACAGGAGAGGCGAATAAAGTCCCCAACGGTGACATCTTTCCAGCAGCAGTCCATGTATTTTTTCTCTTTCCTAAAATTAAAAAAAAGCTTTAAAATAATATTAAGCTAAACATATATAATCATTTAAAAATTTTTTCTGTATAATTTAAATTATGTTGAAAGTATTAAGGTGAATTTTAGGATGGATGTTAGTCTATTGAAAGCTAAAATAGAAGCCACAGAACTGGTAAAACCAAATGCCTCACCTGAAAATTTAGTTATTAAACCACTAAAACAGAATTTTTTTCTGTGGTGTTTTTGAAGCTTTATGCTGCTTGAGTGCAATTCTACAACAAAATTACAGTTAAGATTCCATGAGTTTATTCGTATGCAGAGTAATTCTTGAATGCTGCTCTGTGGTCAGTTTCAAAGGACCTGGGGAGGGGGCACAAGACCATCATCTGCTCTCTGATGCTTGCAATCTGGCAGATAAGCCCAATAATTACAGAAGACATGATGAAATGCACTACCCACACATATCATTTTAAAAAATCACTATTTCACCATATTAATGCCTCAAATTGTCATTAAATAAAAATAAAGTTAGCACTGCATATCCATGGGTCCCACACTTGAGAATTCAACCAACTGCAGATGAAAAATATTTGAAAAAAACTGTACCTATATTAAACATGTACAGAATTCTTTTTCTTGTCACCATTCCCTAACCAATGGAGTAGAACAACTATTTATGCAGCATTTACATTGTGTTTGGTATTATAAGTCATCCAGAGATGATTTAAAGTATACAGGAGTACATGCGTAAGTCATACGTAAACATGGCTCTATTTTATGTAAGGGACTTGAGCACCTCCATAGGGGTCCTGGAACCAACCTTTCCCCCACATCTCTGTTGACACTGAGGGATGAATATATTGTTCAAAGCAGTCCCAAGTATGCTGAAGCTAACTCCTAGAAAGGACAATGGCACATTTTATTCCTTTTCAAATATATTCCTTTTCCATTCTACACATTTCTGTGAAGGAAAGATGTTTCACCTGAAGTTGACTTGCCTTAAACCTCTGCTTTATGCTAAATTTTTTGCCAAACTTCTTATGCCTTTCAGGCCAACAACATTCATTATGCTCCATGAAATATTTTCCTTAGAGTAGAATGAGGATATTCATGTGGGAGAATGTCATATCTAGTTAAGTAGCATTTCACATGCAAAGCTAACAACAATGTGTCAAAGACTATCTCCCAGGTACCCATAAAGACAGATATTTGTCACAAAAATACACTTATTTAAAAATCAAAGTTATTTATTTTCTATTATATTTGTGGAGCTAAATACTCATTCACTCTCAGGAATACTGGGAGATAGTTAGTTGTATGACCTATATATTAAAAACCATTGATGCATCAGATTAAATAGAAATGTCACATTAGATCAATACTTGTATAACTTTTGCTCTAAAACATTATATTAGGTAGTTCAAGAAACATTTAGCTTAAATGGTTAAATAAATATAAAGAAGTACATTTTTAGGACACAGTCTCCCTAAATACCTTATGCATAAGGTAAAGGAAATCCTTGAATACCATATGAGAAAGGCAAGTTGATGATTTATTTTTGTCTTTTCCAAACTCTTCCCTACCGCCTGGGAATATCAATTCATTCTTCCATGGAAGGAAGTAGTAGTAAGAAGATGAAATGTAGACAGGATCATATTTTAAAGGTTCAGTCCTATATGTCACATGTAGGTGTAGGGATTTCATTCCATAGAAAATGGGGAGTCACTAAAGATTCATAAAAAGGGAGTCACTCTACCTCTGTTTGCTCACTTCTGCAATAGTGTGGACTGTTGGGTGGTAGCCTAGTTAGTAGTAGGAATGGCCAAGACCAATGAAAAGTAATTAAAGTAACTCAAGGACAAAAGAAAATGATCAGAATTAAGGCAGTAGTAACAGAGATGAATGGCAGAGATAAAATTAAGATTTATTTAGGTACCAGTGACAGCCAAGTTTTAATTATCAAGGATGACACTGGGTTTTTTTAACTTGTAGGATGGGGTAATGGATGGTACCTTATATTATGTCTCAGATTTTATAAGAAACTGGTTATATCACAGAGGAGATAACATTCATTTTGAGACATTTTTATTTGACTGGGATATGCAGTTGAAAATGTTCAACATAGGCAAAGGCAATAACTTTCTAAATAGAACTGCAATAGCTCAGCAATTAAGATAAAGGTTTGACAAATGGGGCTACATGAAACTAAAAAGCTTCTGCACAGCAAAAGAAATGGTCACTAGACTGAAGAGGCAGCCCTCAAAATGGGAGAAAGTCTTTTCTATCTATACATCTGACAAGGGATTAATAACTAGAATTCACAGAGAGCTCAAAAACTAAACTTCCAAAATCTCAATGACTTGATGAAGAAATGGGCAAATTAACTGAACAGAAATTTTTCAAAGGAAGAAGTCCAAATGACCAATGGCTATCATCAAGAACACAAACACCAACAAATGTTGGCAAAGATGTGAGGGAAAAGGAACATTTATACACTGTCAGTGGGAATGTAAGTTAGTACAACCAGGAGAGAAAGCTGCATGGAGGCTCCTCAAAAAAACTAAAAACAGAACTGCCAGATGATCCAGCAATAGCAATGCTAGGCATATACTCAAAGGAATGTAAGTCATGATACAATGAAGACACTCATATACCGTGTTTATTGCATTATTCGCAATAGCTAAGGAAACAACCCAGATGTCCCACATGGATGAATGGATTAAGAAAATGTGGTATATACATACAATGAAATATTATTCAGCCATAAGGAAGATTAAAATTTTGTGTTTGAAGGTAAATGGATGGAACTGGAGAACATCATGTTAATGAAATAAGCCAGGTTCAGAAAGACAAAGTCTCCATGTTTTCTCTCAAATGTGGAAAACAGATTTAAATACAAATACAAATTATAATGGTTGTATTTGTATTTGGATATATATGTATAAGGAATATATTATATATCATAATATGTATATATTATGCATAATACATTATATATATGTGTATATGTACATGTTTCCATAAGTGGGACTGTTAGAGGAGACTAAGGGAGGAGGAAAAGAAAAGAATGATAGAGTGAATAATATTGAAATATATCACATCTGTGTAGGAACAAGACACAACAACACTGAAATCTGTTGAACAATACAGGATAGCTGGAAAAGGGTAAGGAAGAAAAATAGAGGGGGTTAGACTCATTTAAAGTACAATATATTTACAGGTAAAATGCCAAGGCAAAATCCTATTGAACAATGAAGCAACACTTAAGGAATGGACAGGAATGTAAAACAGGTCATGTTAAGGGAAGAGTAACAGTGGGAGAGCAGGTAAATGTAGAGAGTAAAGGAGGATGAGTATGGCTGAGGTACTTTTTATACAAGTATGGATGTGGTAGAATGAAACCTGTTGACATCATTTTAAGAACAGAAGTGGGGAAAGAGGGAGAATAATGGAGGGGATGAACCACACTGAGGAACAATATATTATTACTGTATGGAAATGTCACCATGAAACCCACTGTATAACTATCATATGCTAATAAAAATATTTAAAAAGAAGAAAATGACCAGCTATTTGAGGGATCTGATCTTGGGCTCATGAGTAGAGATACAGATTTTTAAGTCCTAGGTACACAGAAAGCAAATTGGCACCAGGTAAGAACATAAGATTACTTAGGCAAAAAAGACTTCAAAGTAATAGAGGAGTGAAAGAAGACCCAAGAGAAAGTGATGTCAGAGAAATCAAGGGAGAAGGAAATTTCAGAAAGGAAGTAATTATAGTCAAAAGTCATAAAGGAGCCTATATAGTAAGGACCAAAGTGCCTATGGTATTTGGTTTTAGGAGGTCTGCTGACCTTGTAAAAAGCTGTTAACGTGAAATTGTTGATGGGGAGAATCAGGAGAAAGCATGACCTCCTGTGAATCTGGGAATGAGTGGAGAGTAAATTATTTCCTGAAGTTTAGCTATTGAATAAAGGGTGAATGCAGCCACTGCAAGGAAAGGTGAGTCACAGAAAAATATGGATGCAAGAACTTGGCATTCTTATTGGATGTACAGAAGAAGCTGATGGAGAAGGCAAGGTAGAAGACAGAAAATGGGGGTGGGGAGAGTTGGTTGAGGTTATGGAGAAGCTAATAAAGGAATACGACTATGAATACAAATGGAAGGACTACTATTACAAGGAAGAGAGCTGGTTCTTCATCTAAGATCAGAAGAGAGTAGGCAATGATAAGGATGGTGTAAAAAGGAACTTGAAGTATATAGTTCAACTTTCTATACAAAGAAAGCTAAGTGGAAATTTACTGAGAATTTGTGAAGGTAGGGAAAGAGCATTAGGGCTACAGATTTCATTTTTTTTCAAAGATAATAATTAGAATACTTCTAAGAAATAAATTTATTTTATGTTGGAAAAAGTTCAAGTGAAGTCAGTTTTAAAATTAAAATTGAAATTCTGTTTTTCCCATATTGGAGTTCATATCGAAATTAAAAAAAAATAGCTAATTTTCCAAACAGCAATAAACATATATTGATATTAATGTGAGTTACCTTGTGAAGTGCTAAAGACAAAGAATCATTAAGATATGGTTTGTACAGTAGAGAATTTATGCTCAAAATTGGAAAAAGAGACACATATAGCGATTTCTTAAAAGAAAGGTATACACTGCACAGTTACTATGGGAGCAAACAGGAATGGCCTTTAGCCCTGGAGGAGTGATGCCTGAGGCAACTTGAACATATGATTAGGAATGAGTCAGGTGAAAAGGCATAGGACAGCACTTTAGTCAGAGTGCTCCTGAGGAGTGGGAACAAGGGCAGAAAGCATGAGAGAGTGCTGTATCTGGAAGCAAGTATGCATAAGCAGCAATGTTCACAGCCACATGTAACTGATGTTGAATGTTTACAGTGGTGACACATATGAACTAAGGCTACAATTCCCTCCTTGACATAGAATTCAAACTACAAACAGGAATTTCTTCCCCCAGGGCCTAAGTGTACAATTAGAATTTCTTGCATCTACTTAGATGTTTGTACTTGTGTATGACTCTCCCTGGTCAGGATACAGTGCTTACAATCCCTCCTTCAGGAAAACTACTAGACCCTTTGTGTTTCTTTAAGAGTTTAATATCAAACAAAGTGCTATGTCCTCAACTATTAACATGTTGAATGATTTCACCAGGATGGGAATTGGTAGGGGAGGAAAAGGAAGGGAAAAGGGTTGGGGGAGAATGTGAACTTCTACTTCTTAGTCTACAGAATTTAGAGAAAAAGTGGGATTATGAATTAATCATTCTTTGTGTTTTTTTAAAATACTTTTCTAGTAACAGTAAAAATAATCTATAATAAGAAAAATAATGTGTTGTTATTGGACACAGCAACAGCTAAGATTCATCAAATGCTTTTATATACATCCATTCATTTAATTTGTTAATCGATGTGTTAAACGGTTGGAACTACAAAAACATTATGGGACAGAGCTGGCTGAGTGGCTCAAGTGGTAGAGCACCTGCTTAGCAAGCATGAGTCCTTAAGTTCAAACCCCAGTACCACCAAAAAACACCCAAAACATTATGGACCCCTTGATGGGGTAAGTGACGTGATGAAGGCATACACTTCCTAAGTGGACCTGGACATTGAACAATGCAGGTCACTCTAGAGTCCACTAGTTCACTTCTAGCTATAGTCACTTCTGATGAACACCAAGTAAAATGTGGTTTAATTGTACATTAAAAAGTATATTTAAAGAAACATCATATTGTAAAATGCCACATATGAAGGTAATTATCTTAGAAGTCCATTGATATTTAGACTTATTACAAAATCATGGAATACTATGGACTTGTGAGATAATCCCCAAAAGTTAACATTAGTTAGTAGCTTATAACTCCTAATGTCACCAACATGATAATTTTTAAGGGTCAGAAAATATTTGTCCCTTGAGGGCATTCATTCTAAGTTTTGTTTAGACACCACTATTGTTTGGATAAGTGTTCCTCAAAATTCCATGGGTTAAGGGATTGGTCCCCAGTCCATGGTGCTATTGGAGGTCACGGAGACTTCTTAAAGTGGGGGGCCTAAAAAGAGGAAGGTATGTCATTTGGGGTGTTCCGTGGAAGGAGATATTGGGACTCTGTCTCCTGGTCTCCCTCTTTGCTTCTTGGCTGCCATAATGTGAGCAACTTTTCCTCTTGTCACATGATCTTGTCATGAAGTGCCACCTCACCACAGACTCAAAAGCAATGAAGTCAACAGATCACAGACTGAAACTTCCAAAAACCTGAGCCCAAATGACTTCTTTATGGTTTTAAGTTTATCATCTCAGATATTCAATTATAGTAACACAAATCTGGATAACACAAATCTCTTAACTCTGTCAGTACCAACCATGTAGAAAACACCAAAACTGGTGAATCATTAATAGTCTTATTTTCAAGACATTTCTATTATCTTGAAACAGACCTTAAACCCTTGTAAATGGATCCTAATTTAAAGGCAATCTTTAAAAAGTCAGGTTTTTCTGTGATAGTTCATTCTAGCTTAACCGGGGTGTAACAGGGTTTAAATTTTTAATTTCTATGCTAGTGTTTATTCCAAACGATACCTCTAACCATAGAAGTTAAGCACCTTGTGAGTGACCACATATGACAAATAAGAACCAAATTATCTGCATGGTAATGTTACTATGCTTCTTGCAAAAGCTTGCTGGATTTAATAGCCCCATATTTTCACCCTACATTTCCTCAGAAGTAATTTATTCTTCCTCAGAAGAAATTTGTATTTCACAGGAATTTAAGTCTTTCTTTGTATTTCATAGGAATTTATCAGCATATTTAAATTAACCTTAATTTCTTTATATTCTTACAATTGTTCCAGGAACAATTTAGAGGAAAAACATAAGCATTATTGTTTTCTTATAGCACTTGAACTAAAGTAAATTATTCCAGAAGGTAGATTTTTAAAAGGTATAAAATTATCCAAGTCTCTTATGAAATGCAATGTGATACCTCAGACTAGACCTTAAATAATTAACTAGAATATTGCATTTCATCATTAAGTTTATATACCAATCATCCAAAACAAATCTAAAACTGATCTAAACTGTGTCTAAAAGGACACTTGAGAAAAAAGTTGTACCAGATCTACCATTATGTGATTTTAAATCTAAAAAAATATGACAGTGTTATTAGAAATTCTTGAATGTGATTAAATGACATGACAATGACACAAGCAAAAACTCTAGCTAAAGTCTGCTTTGTCAATTTCTGGGTTGACAATGGTTTTTGTCTTCCTCTGACACCTGAATTAATTGTCATTAACCTGTAATAATAATCTTGATAGCTAACTTTTACTTAGTCCTTGGAAAGTACTGCTTACTGTGCTTACTGTTTTATCATTATATTTATAATTAAAGTAACTGGGTATTTAGCTAGCTTATGTAATTTGCCCAAAGCTATTCAGCTACTAAGTGGGAAAAGCAAAATTAAAACTTTTTAAAAGAGCCTAGAAAAGCAAAGAAGCACATGTCATCTACTTTAAACTATCCTTACAATAAACAATTGTTTAACACAAGAATTTATATGCAATATATATACAATGAACATTCTTTCCATTTGCTATATTTGGTTTTAGCCAGGTAATCTTAAAATTGGTCAAAATCTGGACTTTGTTTATTATATAATCATTTTTGAAATAATATTACTTATATAGCTATTTTTTGAAAGACCAAAACAGTATTAACTGTTACCTGTCTGTCCCCAGCATAACTAGTTATGTATTCTCATAGAATTGTTTCATTAAAATACTCTATGATTTTAATATGCAAATCATGGACTTTTACTACACTATTATTTCATTGTATAATAGAACATTTTGGCTTTTCTGGTTCCCTTTAGATTAGACACAGTATATGAAAAAATAGAATTAAATTTTCATCATTCAAGTAATCTTACAAAAAGGTTTGTTTTCCCTGTTTTCTTAATAGATCTTTAAAACAAATGTGTGAAAGCCACTGGAGAAGTCTAACACTGGACAAAACTCAGAAACTTGCAGGTTTCAGCTTTTTGTTATTTATTTATTTAAAATATCACTGTTCCAAAAAAGCTTTCTGTAACCTTTTCCTCTAGAGCTCACATAAGATTGAAGACAAGTTTCCTTTTTGTACATTGTTTACTAAGTTTTAACTTACGTCTAAAATAAAAACTCAGGAGCTGCATGTAATCTACATCATCGTTCAAAACTTACCTTAAGTGTTTATTCTTGGCTATGGAGACTTTCTATTTCATAAATACTGGAAATACAAGTCTGACAAAGCAAATATGCTCTTGAATAGACTTCCTCTTATGAATGCCCTCTGTTGTTGCTGCCAGGATGCCCCAAATTTTATACAGAAAATGGAATTGGCCAACTTTCACAATTCCTTTCCTCCCAGGCAGCTCCTGCATTCTCTTCTCCTAGTCCATTTATTTTTCATACCCACTCAAGTCCATTCTTGTTTTTCTTAACCTATCTTTTTCCTAATCCTAAATTGTAATATCCAATGTTTAAAAAAAAATCTATCTGCTTGCTTTCTTTCCTTTGGTTTGGAGTTTCAATTCCACTATATATGACCCATAGAAACTTTTGCTTTGTCAAGTCCTGGACTGATGGATGGTTTTTGTATCCCCCTGACAACCAAATTAGACTCATTGTAGAATTTTAGTAAATATTAGTTGAAATGAATAATAACACCAATGCACAAAGGGTCCTGGTCACGTCTAAAGGGGAAAAAACTAACACATTTCTAAATGATCCATGTATATTCCTTAGTGAAGCTGCCATTACACTTACCTACTGTAAACTTTGGTGACTAAATTGTTGATCTGTTTATCAATTTTGTATTTTCGGTAATCTTCCAAGCCATCTTTAATTGCAATAATTGTAAGGACCACTACCAGAGGCAGCATGGTAATTTCCTTTTGGAAGGCTTCTACCAAAGGCACCCAGTTCAGGACAACCAAGAACAGGAAATATAAATTGGCAGCCCTGTAACCCAAACACATGCAGGGAGATATTAACAAAACACTCTGAGACTGAAGTAAAAGAGGCAAAAAACCTTTTTATGTTTTCCTATAAGCTTGTCTTAGTTGATTATGCATGTGACAAAATAAGAAATGAGCAAAATCTAACAAATCTGAGCATTTAGTATCCTCAGAGTCATATGGCTCTATCTATACTTTAATAAGTATGATATTGAACATTTGAGTAGGATGGTCTTGAGTTGTAGAACACATGACAAAGAAGCAGTATAGAAGAAATTCAAAGTCAATGTGATTTAAATCCTCTAGCCATGTATATTGAAACATTAGACTTAAATGTTTCCTACTCAAAATAAGTAGGAAAGCCTGAGATTTTTCTCCTTGAGGCTCTCCTGTTCCATTTCATGCCATTTGAAACTGCATTATTCAGGAACTTCCTCCACTCCTCTATTTTATATTTTTAAATAGTCCTTCACTGGTTCCTTAGTTTTCAGCAGAAGATAATTCAAAACGTCCTTTTCTTTAAAAGCAAAACAAAACCTCAATCTTGCATAAGCACTTGAATTTTTATCACACATTTTCCCATTAAACTCCTTAACAGAATAGCCTACAAACACTTCTCCTTTATCCGCTCCAATTTCTTTTGCTCTAAAAACCTCTTTCTTAACCCTTTTTGCTACTTCTGAGGCTTTAACTAAACTTGGACCCTATTCAAGTCTACAGTTCCAGGGACCTTGTCAAGTTTCAGATTATTTTTCCACTGAACATACTAGAGGACATAAACATCCATCCATAGTACTTAAAGCCATTAACTCAACAAATTCACATCTGTACTTTCAAGAAGACATTTATTTGATGAATCACAAGAATAAATGTAGGCAGAATGAGTAATGAGTGTTGAGAACCTCTATGCTCACATTAGCATGTCAAACACAATCCTACAGAACAAAATAAATTTCTAGCCAAGCCTCTTTTTTACTATTGTCCTTCCTTTTCCTGTTAATTTTTCTGGTCATCACACTCAACATATTTATACTATCTTCTTTCTCCTTTTCACTTAATTCTCATATCTGATCTATAGGTTACCCTTCTTTTCATTCCCACATAATTCTGACTGTGGGTCTTCCAGGAAAACTCACCAGCAGCTTCCTTAATGCTCTCTTCCTCTTCGGTTTGCTCTAAGCCCATCTACCCATCCCACTGCCTCCACAGTGAAATACAGTACAAACATGTCATTCCTCTCTTCAGATCCATGGCTGCAGTTTTGGGTCCCAATTCTTAATCCTGACAGAAAGACCCACCTTCTGGTGGGTTACATCTATCTTTCCAACTTTCCTATTGTTCCCCGAATAGATCCAGGTGTTATCAGAGACAATTACTTTCCAGGCTTGAAGTGAGTCTTCTATGCTGCTGCCTTTAAGCTTTTACTCATGTCCTTTCATCCATCTGAAATATGCTTTGCCCACACCTCTGCCTGGAAGGTCTCACCCACTCTTCACAATTAAGCCAAATGTTACATCCTCTTCCATTGCTCCAGCTGGTATTACGATTTTAATTTGAAGTTCCATCCTACTTGATAGCATATTAAAACACTCATTAATATACCCTGTCTTTTCATTCTTTGTATACATAACTTGTGTCCCTGCTAACCTGCAAACCTTATATATAAAAAAGTAGCAATTATATTTGCATTTCCTTCAGTGTGTAAACTCATAGGCAAACTTCACTAAATACTTATTAAACTGAATTATATCACTGTTTCTCTTAATAACATCTTACATCTGCTTCAAAGCTCTATTTCCCTATAATATCAAGTAAGAAGAATCTGAAATTAAAATTCAGCATGGCTTAATGGAAAGAACACTAAAAGCAAGAGTGAAAAGACTCAACACTTGGTCAGCTGCTTATCATTGGTCTGACACTGAATAAACCACAAATAGTCCTAATGAATAATAACATGATGGAAATACTGTCTTCTCTGGTAAAGAGAAGACATCTGATCAATTACAAAGTGCTAGGTGAAGGTAAGGGATCATCATTCCACAGCACAGTCAGACCCAAATTGCCAAGGATGTAACAAGTCTTAGGCTTAAGTAACATACATTATGGCAAAAATTGAAAAAAAAATCACACAGTAACTAAAACAGTGAAGAACACGCTAAGATTTTTCTACAAATTAAAACTGTACCTGTGAAATTGTTCAAACAAATTTCTTGGCACAAAATTCAGAAGCGTGTACTTCGTTGTTCGTATTCGGTTATTTACATAGGTTCCAGAGAACCTTTCATACTCATCCTTGAAGCATTGGAGGTGAGGAATAACAATCCGATGTTTTCCTGCCAGTTTGGGGGTCTGGGAGGACTTTCCCCCACAGGCCAGCAGCGAGGAATAGTTGTATGGCCTCTCATCGTCATCTCTGGTCTGACCACCCATCACCTGCTGCCAGTGGTATCTGGCCCATTGGAGAGGCTCAGTCATGTCCAGGATGCAGTGAGATCCAGGTTGTGTAGGTAACCTGGCAAAAAACAAAACAAAACACACAAACTATAAGCTTCTGGAAAGTCTTAAAGGATAGTAAAATTTTAATGCTTTCCTATGCCAAAAAAGTAAATGACACAATGGTTTCACAAATAAGTGGGAATGTAAAACTCATTTATGGAACTCCATTTTAACCAAATCTTTATTAACTAAGCTGCTTCATGGATGCATCATTACACAACAAAAGACAGCGTCTTAAAGGCCAGCCTCTAATTTAAAACAAATATTTTGCCTTAATGTGTACAAGTCTCCTACCTTCTCTGAGCCTCAATTTTTCTCATTTTTGAAATGGAAATAATGCCATCTATGTTAGGAAATTGTCATGAGGATTAAATGAGTAACATATAAATCACCCAGCCTAAGACCTGATAGACAGTAAGGAGTCAATAAAACTCATTCTGTGTCGATTACAAAAATGGGCACAAATTCTTATCACTTATATGTGCATCCCTTTTGCCCTTCAAGAGGTGGATTTTTTAAAATAAAATAAATAAATAACATAAGATAAAAGACGTGGATTCTTTCTCTACATATTGAATATTCTTTCTCTACCATGGCCACAGGCTTTGCTTTGGCTAAAAGAACACTAACAAGCAGAACACAAGCAGAGGCTTGAACATGCTTACTCACTGGGGTTTGCTCTCCCTCACTGCCTGGGAACACTTTGCTACAACCATGAGTCCAGGCCTGCCCAGGCTAGTTGGCTGGATAAAGACACAAGACCCACTCACCACCACTGCTACTGGTAATGTGTGGACAGGGTCACTGGTTGCCAGCAGACCACCAACACATGAGTGTGCCCAGATGACACACCCTAGAGAGATCTACCCAGTCCAAATTGCCAATCCATCAAATTGTGAATTGATAAATGTTATGTTACTAAATTTGGGAAAGGTCTGTTACAAAACAAAAACTAACGTAAATAATCCTTTCCTGATTTTCCAGTTTTCCAAGAAATTCAGTCCCATCTGGAATGTAAGCTCTTTGATTAGAAAAAAGAAAAAAAGAAGAGGGAGAACTAGCATTTATGAAGATTACACGATATTCCAAACACTTTGCAAAACTCTTTTCATGAATTATTTCACTTAATATTAACATCAATCCTGATTTAGATGACACCTTTCTGACTCACGATGTGAACTGGGGCTTGAACTCAGGGCCTCTGCTTGTTAGGCAAGTGCGTTACCATTTGAGCCACACCCTCAGTCCTTTTGATTTTAGCTTTATTTTGAAAGGATCTTGCTCTAACTTTGGGCTGGCCTCAAGCTGCAATTTTCCTGCCTCCACTTCCTGAGTAACTGGGATTACAGGCTTGAACCACCATGGAGAGCCATGACTCAATATTTTTAACTTTTAATGTGCCTCAATTATCTGTGTATCTATACTGCCAGGCACTTAGCAAATGACCCTAAAAGTTCAACCAATAAATAATTGGTGTATGGAGGGCAAGGTCCAGGAGCCTTGCTTTCTATCCTTGCTTTATCAATACTGTTGCATTTCCTTCTCATGAGTTGGAGTTCCCCTACGATGATTTCTATTTAGTGAATCCTGTGTGTATGCCATGGTCTTTGGAGTTAACAAAATTCCACAGATAAATCTGATGGAGGTGACCAAAGACTGCACCTGGAGAAAAACTTGGTTATGTGCCAGACACCACATTAGATTGGGAATGGAGAGACGAGTAAGACCAAGATCCCATTCTCCAGAAGCTCAGAGGCTAGGTGAGGTGATGGGCATGAAAATATTCAAACGCAATCCCATCTACATGATGGTATTTAAGGCAATGAAATCATTTGGACAAATTACTTAAGCTTGTTTCTTTCCAAAGTTTCATTCTAAGTTTATAGCATGAGTATTGATTCATTTCTCTGAAGTGTTATACTGATCACAAATTAATAGTTTCCCCCTGAGTACCTGAAAATTGTGCCCGGCTTTCATGGCTCTGAAATGATAAATCATTACCTAACAGCACTGGAACATTTGATCCAAGTATTCTAGCAATTCTAGTGAACTGATATTTTTAATAACCTATTCTTGCTAGTATACCTGTTTACTATATCGAGTAGCCATAAGCAATCTAAAAGATTACAGTTATTTGACATTGCTTTATCACTGCATTTATAGAAAATAAACCACACCACAAATAACCTTTAAAAATCCATCAGATTGAAAAGTATATGAATCTGAAACAAAATAATAAAAATAGAAACAGAATGTTGCTTTTAATGGGAAGAACATAACCTCCAAGTGCATGTATTTGTGACTGGGTATTAGACCTGCAATATATGCCCCTATTATAAAGTCAGTCTTATAATTTGTATGTAAAATGATAGGAACAAAGAAGAAAAGGTCTCTCCCGATCAGATCTCTGACATTTGGAGTTTGTCCTCTAAAACACTTATTTGTACAGAGCTAAGTCAATGAATAATGGCTGGCCAAAGTAATACTGACTATCTTTTCAATACAATTTGTAAAATGCCTACCTCTGAAACATATTTGAAAAGTTGGTTTTTCACCTCAGTAAGCAAGCTTAGTCCTTTCTTGTAATGACAGCTTTACTTACTATAGTAGCTCATAACATACCTAAAAATCTTCCTCAGAACAGATATAAGACAATTCTATATAAATTAATCAATAAACAGCAAAGAGTTAATATTAAGTACTAAGCACTTTTCATGCATGTCACACCATGCTCATTGGGTGGCTATTTTAACAAATATATTTTTAGAAGGCTGAAATAAGCATGATTTGCTATTATTTTTGGAACTTTAAAAGGAAAGTCTTCATTTGCAATTAAAGTATTATTAAGACATAAGCATGTGTTATTCCTCTAGTATCCACAGTCTCATTCATACTAAATGCTATTTGGCTCTTTAATTCTAGAACACAAACTGTTGAGAAAGCAAACATAAAATTAATTAAACAAACATGGAAAAAATATGGGAGGTGTAAAGTTCTGGTAATTACTGATATGTCTGACTAATAAACTCACACTAGAAAAACAAATACTGCTGGTTCACAGAGACAATCAGGTTTTCTTTTCATGAACCTGGGCATGAACTGTATTTTCTCCAAATCACTCAGGTTCTAAGAAACAATTCTATAGTGATTTGGAAAATATTTCATTGCCTAGGTACTTCTACATCTGCTTTCTCCATGTATTCTCAGTATTCTTAACCTTACACTAGGTGCTTTATTAATGCACATATTGCTTTTCCTCTTTTCTTTCTCCTTTTCAGGTTCAAGGAATTTTAGTGGAAATAAATTGAGGCTGGCTCACTGCCCCATACACACCCTCCCTCAGCTGTCCAGAATGTTCCTTCTACTCTCTAAGACCCAGCAGGTCACTATCTTATAATAACTCTATCCCATTAGCACTACTGCTTGTTTCTAAAAAGTGATAACTGGATCAGAGGATGGATGAACTCAAGATGGAGAAGTTGTACTTTCAAGGGACAGAGGAGAAAGGACCAGGTTTGCAGGTAATTATGGATGATGAGAGTATTTTCAAATTTCCAGTTTAAAATATAAATTCTTTTATATTGGACAGGATTGATAAGGATCTACTCAGTTACTCTAGCTCAGTGGTTTTCAAAATGTGTTAACTGCTACACTGGTGAAAAATACACTCTAAGAGGCAGTCTAGAGTATATAGACATACATAGCTGATGCAAAACTACTAAACAGTTCTTGCTCCTCCTACTTGGTATGCATTTGCATATTTTTTATTCTGTCTCTCATATTAACAATATGCACTAAATTGGTTTTAAGGTTCACTAAGGTGTTGCTACATGTACTTTGGAAGCAGCTAACTGTATTTGGCTCCACATTGAAAGTATACATGGAAGTGGATAGATCCATGTTCCTGGCACCACAGATGCAGAAAACAGACTCTTTTGGTAGAAAGGTGCTGAAAGACAGCAGTAGGACTGGAAGTCACCGGTCAAGGTGACACTGTCTCACCACAGTCAGGAGCAAGCAGCCTTTGAATCTTTCTGCATCTAATCCAGCAAAGTTAACAGTATGGTAGCGCTTAGAAAAGAGTCTGTTGCTTTTTTACAGAAAATGTTTTTAAGTCATACTTCACCAAGCCTCCTCAAAACTCAAGATATTCTAGACTTTAGACGATGGAGATCACTTAATATTCTGATATTCTACCCAGTGACATATTGTCTTAACTTTTTTAAGTACAAAGCAAATCAACATTTCAAATACAGATAAAACCATATTACATATTGTCAATTAGCTTCTCTGAACAAAACAGCTACAGAATACTAGGCATGCATTTAGGCTATGACCCTTCAACCTAATCCCATCTTTTCTATTTCACCCAATTTAATTGAGGGAATGAACACTTTGCTCACAACATTTAAATTTTTTGGTTTTTTAATTGACATATAATAATTATATGTATTTATGGGGTACAATGTGATGTTTTGATACATTGTGTAATAATCAAATCACCCTAATTAGCATAACCATTTCTCTCTTCTAGCTATTTTGAAAAAATCAATAAAATATCATTAAGCATAGTAATCCCATAGAACATCAGAAATCATTCCTCCTATCTAACTTCATACCTATTAAAAACAATTTCTCCCAATTTCCTCTCCTCCCTACTCTCTACTTCTCTACTTCTCTCTCTACTTTCTACTTCTATGACATCAGCATGAGATCATGCTCTCCACTTCTGACAAATCAAATTCCTCCTGCTCTATAGACCTAGGCTCAAAGATTAGCTGTACCACTTATTGGCTATTTGACCTGAAGAATTAACCTCTGATCCTCTGCCTGCTAAAAAATAAAATAAGACACCATTTAGAATCATGAGATATGCCACAGATGAAAAATATTCATTCTATTCTATTCCTCATTCACATCTTTAGCTGTTTCTCAAAACATACATTAAAAGTTGGGCTTAGATACAAAATTTAAATATATTGCTTACAGTTTAATCAAGCATATTGCTTACAATTT